TTGAAGTTGTCAAGGATTTCATTTTACTTGGATCCACAATCAATGCCCATGGAAGCAGATCTCAAAGAATCAAATGACGTATTGCATTGAGAAAATCTGTTGCAAAAGATCCCTTTAAAATGTTAAAAAGCAAAGATGTCACTTTCACTGCTAAAGGGTGCCTAACCCAAGCCATGGTGTTTTCTATCGCTTTATATGCATGCAAACGCTGGGCAATGAATAAGGAAGACCGAAGAAGAATTGATATGTTTGAATTATGGTGTTGGCAAAGAATATTGATTATACCATGGACTGCTGGAAGAATGAACAAATCTGTCCTGGATGAAGTACAGCCAGAAATCTTAGAAGTGAGGATGGTGAGATTTCATCTCATGTAGTCTGCGCATATTATCAGAAGGGACTAGTCCCTGAAGGACATCATGCTTGGTAAAGCAGAAGGTCAGTGAAGAATAGGAAGCCCCTCAACAAGATGGATTGACACAGTGGCTACAACAATGGGTTCAAACTAACAATGATTATGAGGATGGCACAGGGCCAGGCAGTGTTTCCTTCTGTTGTAGAAAGTGTTACTATGAGTCAAAACTGACTCCACAGCACCGAACGACAACAATATGTTGATTGGCTTTCTCATGTTGAACATTCTTGCATTCCTGGGATAAATATTACTTGGTCATGGTGTATGATCCTTTTAATATGATGTTGGCGTCAGTTTTATAATATTTTATTGAGGATTTTTTGAATCTATATTCATAAGGAATACTGGTTTGTAGGATGTTTTGTGTGTTATTTTTGTCTGACTTTCATATTTGTGAAATAGTGTACTCATAGAATTAGTTAGGAAGTGCTTCTTCCTCTTTTTTGGAAGAGTTTGAAAAGGATTGTTGTTAATTCTTCTTAAATGTTTGGTAGAATTCACTAGTGATGTCATCTAGTCCTGGACTTTTCTTTGTTGGGAGCCAGTAGGGAGTGTCCCCATTTTCATTTCTGATTTTGGTTATTTGTTGGTTAGTTCTTTTTTTCTCGGTCAGGTTAGCAATTTGCCATTTTGCCAATGTTTTCTATATGACTTATAATTATTTTGTACCTTATTTTCTCCATTGCAACCTTCTTTGGTGTGTAATTGATATTTTGTAGTATACCATTTTAATTCCCTCCTCTTTTCCTATTATGTATGTTTTTTAGATATTTTCTTATT